AGGTCTCGACCCATTCCCCTGGACCGGTTTCTCATCCTGAGCCGTTTTTTGGCGGTCCCGAGGGCCAGTGAGGGCCCCCGGAGGCCGAAAATAGGAAAAAACCTCCCGTCATGATTTTTTCATGACTCGAGGGGGTCTGGGTATGTGGTGTGAGCTGTGTGGTGTACGCACAGTGCGCCCACGAGGCGGCCACGCGCGACAGCGTGGCGAGACCCCGCGGGACCCGCCCGGCGCACGAGGCGGCCACGAGAGGCGGCCACGGCCGGCCCCTGGGAAGATCGCCGCAGGATCCCTCCATTCACTTACGTTTATGTCGGTCGTGTCCCCCTACAGGGGGATTTTCGACGAAAAATAGAAGGTACCCCAAAAATGCCCCAAAAAGGTAAAAAAATAATATAAGAATAGTCCCCAGATTATTTTTGGATTATTTTTGGACAATTCTGCTTGTATTTTTTATTTTTCGTCGAAAATCCGCCTGTAGATGGACAGGCCCGGCTTAACGATGCAAGTATGGGCCCCTAAGTGCAAGCACTGTTTGGGGAACGTGTACGTGTGTATTTATATTATATACATAAATATAAGTATGTGTTAGCCAGCGTGTGCCCCAAACAGCAGGTTCTTGCAGTCTGTGCGGTGCAATCTGTTTGGCGCAATGTACGCGATGCAACCTACGTAATGCAGTCTATGCGGTGCAGTATATGCGGCGCAATGTATGTGGTGCAATCTACGCGGTGCAACCTGTGTAATGCAATCTATGCTGTGCAACCTACGTGGTGCAATTTACGCGCGGTACCCTATGTAATGCAACCTATGCTTGGAATATATGTGGTGCAATCTATTTGGTGCAATTAATTTCTGTTCGCAGTGAGTTGTCCACTCCACTGATCGCGCAAACATCCCACCCACCCACCCGCAGCTTGGCTTGCAAAATCTCTTAAGACCGTGACGGTGGGTACCAAATGGCACTTGGCAACGACAGCGACGCCGACGACGACACCGACAACGACGACGACGACGCCGCCGACAACGACTACGACGACACCGACGACGTCTCCAACGACTTCGACGACGCCGACGACGACGACGACGACGACACCGACGACGACGACGCCGCCGACGACGACGACGACGATGACAACGACGACGACAACGACGACGACGACGACGACAACGACGACATCGACGACGACCACGTCAACGACGCCGACGACGACGACGACGTCGACGACGGCGGCGACAACGACGACACCGACGACGACGACGACGACGACGCCGACGCCGACGACGACGCCGACGACGACGACGACGTCGCCAACGAAGACGACGACGAGGGAGGAGGGAAGACGAGGACGGCGACACCGACGACGACGACGCCGACGCCGACGACGACGACGACGATGACAACGACGACGACCATGACCACGCCGACGACGGCGACAACGACGACACCGACGACGACGACGACGTCAGTGACGCCGACGACGACGACGACGGCGACGACGACGGCGGCGACGACGACGCCGACGTCGACGACGACGAAGACGACGACGACGCCGACGACGACGACGACGAAGACGACGACGACGTCGCCAACGAAGACGACGACGAGGGAGGAGGGAGGACGACGACGGCGACAACGACGACAACGACGACAACGACGAGGGAGGAGGGAGGACGGCGACGACGCGAACGACGAAGAAGGAGGAAGGACGGCGACGCCGACGACGACAATGACGAGGGAGGAGGGAAGACGACGACGACAACGACGACGACGACGACGGCGACGAAATAGGAGGGACGACGACAAGACGCCGACGACGGACGACGACCACGACGAGGGAGGAGGAGGAAGGACGACCACGGCGACAACGACGACGGAAACGACCACGACGCCAAAGAGGACGACGACGACGAACACGAGGAAAGGCAGAGGACGACGTAGGCGACGACGACGACGACGCGGGAGGAGGGAGGACGACAACGACGACGACGATGGCGACGCAAGAGCGCGCGCGCACGCTTTTGTTGAAAATCCGTGTTGCGAAGCCTTAGGTTTTTGTAGGTTTTTTGGAGACACGATTTTGAAATCCTTCCGAAACCGATGGGTTTTGAAGGTTTTCGGCATACGCGCGCGACGACGCGCGCGTCTGCACTTCGTCCCATTTTTTGAAGAGGGTTCTCGCGACGGCACACGCGCAAGGGCGTTCGACAGATTTCGACATGCGCGCGCGCGAAGCCCGTTGTATAGCATTTCGTGAAAATCTTGAAAACCTATGGTTTCCTTGATTTCCTTGAGATTTCGCAAGAGCTCGCGCGTAAGCTATTTTAGCAAATCAGTGTTGCTAAACCCTGTGCTTTTGAATGTTTTTTTTGGAAACTCGATTGCGAAATCCTTCCGACACCGAAGGTTTTCGAAGGATTTCGGCATGCGCGCGCGACGACGCGCGCGTGTGCACTTCGTCCCATTTATTTGCAAGGGATTCGCGAACAAGTGTTATGTTAGAACAAAGAATGTCATCGCATAGTGTTTTTTACAAGGGAACCTCGGGGGGGGGATACCGGCCCCCCTGGGAGAGTGTAAATTCATATTTCGGATGGACATGTGGTCAGAATCATATATGATTCACATACCCGAAAAGGGGATTGATAACGCCGGGGGGTGGGGGGGGGAGATCCGATTCTGTTTTTAGAAAAGAGAACTGACTACCCTGCACCGCGCTTGACCACCTCCACTGCTCGCGCAAACATCCCACCCACCCACCCGCAACTTGGTTTGCAACATCTCTTAAGGCCGTGACGGTGGGTCCCAAATGGCACTTGGCAACGACAGCGACACCGACGACGACAGCGACAACGACGACGACGCCGACGACGTCTCCAACGACTTCGACGACGCCGACAACGACGACGACGACGACACCGACGACGACGACGCCGACGCCGACGACGACGACGACGATGACAACGACGACGACGATGACCACGCCGACGACGACGACGACACTGACGACGACGACGACGACGTCAACGACGCCGACGACGACGACGGCGACGACGACGACGGCGGCGACGATGACGACGCCGACGTCGACGACGACGAAGACGACGACGACGACGCCGACGACGACGACGAAGACGACGACGACGACGACGACGTCGCCAACGAAGACGATGACGAGGGAGGAGGGAGGACGACGACTGCGACAACGACGACAACGACGACAACGACGAGGGAGGAGGGAGGACGGCGACGACGCGAACGACGAAGAAGGAGGAAGGACGGCGACGCCGACGACGACAACGACGAGGGAGGAGGGAAGACGACAACGACGACAACGACGACGACGACGGCGACGAAATAGGAGGGACGACGACGAGACGCCGACGACGGACGACGACCACGACGAGGGAGGAGGAGGTAGGACGACCACGGCGACAACGACGACGGAAACGACCACGACGCCAAAGAGGACGACGACGACGAACACGAGGAAAGACAGAGGACGACGTAGGCGACGACGACGACGACGCGGGAGGAGGGATGACGACGACGACGACGACGACGCAAGGGCGCGCGCGCACGCTTTTGTTGAAAATCCGTGTTGCGAATCCTTGGGTGTTTGTAGGTTTTTTGGAGACACGATTTTGACATCCTTCCGAAACCGATGAGTTTTGAAGGAGCTCGGCATACGCGCGCGACGACGCGCGCGTCTGCACTTCGTCTCGTGTAGTGCAGAGGGTTCTCGCGACGGCACACGCGCAAGGGCGTTCGACAGATTTCGACATGCGCGCGCGCGAAGCCCGTTTGGTAGCATTTTGTGAAAATCTTGCAGAACCCATGGTTTCCTTGATATTTCGCAAGAGCTCGCGCGTAAGCTATTTTAGCACATCAGTGTTGCGAAACCCTGTGTTTTTGAATGTTTTTTGGAAGCTTGATTGCGAAATCTTTCCGACACCGAAGGTTTTTGAAGGATTTCGGCATGCGCGCGCGACGACGCGCGCGTGTGCACTTCGTCCCATTTTTTGGCAAGGGATTCGCGAACAAGTCTTATGTTAGAACAACAGATGTCCCCTTCGCACCTTTTTTTACAAGGGAACGTCAGGGGGGCCGATACCGCCCCCCCGGGGACAGTGTACATTATTTGTGATGGACATGTGGCCAGAGTCATATAGGTATGATTTACATACCCGAAATGGGGACTGATAAAGCCACGGGGGGGTAGAGTCTATTCTTTTTTTAGAAAGGAGAACCTATGCGACGGCGACGGCGGCGACGGGCGGCACCGCCCACAGAAGCCGCCACTCGCCCCGAGTGGCGGCGACGGCGACGGCGACGGCGACGGCGGCGACGGGCGGCACCGCCCGCAGAAGCCGCCATTCGCCCCGAGCGGCGGCGACGGCGAGGGCGACAGCGGCGATGGTCGGCACCGCCCGCAAAAGCCGCCACCCACCCCGAGATGGTTAAGCCACGTAGGGCCCCCTAAGTGCAAACACTGGTTTGGGACACCTATATATACACACATATTTACAAGTATAATATATGTATCTATATAGCAAAGATCTGCATGTATGCGGCCCCGCATGTGGGGCGGGGGTCCTGCAGAAGGGGGGGTGACTTAGCGGCGCGCGCAAGGGGTGGGAGCAGAGGAGGGCGGCCTTCTTCTGGAGGGCAGGGGGCCCCCTCCAGAGGCGCTCTCTGGGAGGAGGATGAGGAGGAGGAGCTCAGAGGGCAGGGGGGTCTTTCGGAAGGGCTCAGAGCGCCTCTCGAAGAAGCCCACGCCCCCAAGAGCCTTCTCAGCAGGCCGACCCCCTCGCCGCAGCGAGCCCGACCAGAGTCCTCTCAGCGCCCAGGTGCTCGGGCACCTCCCGGGGTCCAGTCCGGGCAGTTTTTCGCGCCGTGCCCGCCCATGGCGGCGAGAATTTCCAGAAGCGCCCAAAGCCCTCCAAAACGGCGTCGTCGTCGTCGTCGTCGTCGTCGTCGTCGTCGTCGTCGTCGTCAGGTCTGCCTCGCCGACGCGTGCGCCGTCCCGAGCGCGTCCAACTTCTCGGGCTACAGGGAGCACGTCTACAGCCCCGCCGGCGACCTGCCGTGGAAGACGGCGTGGGACGCCCTGAGCTCCGCGGCTGGGCTGGCCTCCCCGATGGGCCAGCTGGGGGGTCCTGAGGGCAGCCGAGCAGCGACACGATCGACACGGGTACGGGGTTTCTTGGGTTCACCGGTGGTTTCTCGGATTCCCCGGCTTCCCTGGTCCTCGGATAATTTGATTTGGTTTCTCGGGTTCCCCGTTGTTTTTTTCTCGGGTTCCCCAGCATTGCAAAGCAATGCCAAGCAACGCCCAGAAAAACCAAGGAATGCCAAGGAAAGCAAAGCAATTCCACGTAATGTCAACCAGCGCTATGGAACGCCAAGCAATACCAATCAATGCCACGCAGCGGAGCAGCTTGGGGGTGAAGACCGACCGCAGTTCTCGTCCGCTGTGAGCAGGGCTCGCTGGCGTCGCCCCCGCGGAGGTTGTCCACTTGAGACAAGGAGCCGCCTGCCCAACAGCGGCCGCGGATGGTTTGGGACAGCGTGTGCTGTGGAACATCGTATTCATTTTTCCCGCACGCATCTGGGGCGTGCCAGGAGCAGAACTTTAGCCTTGATCACCAGGAATAGTTTCTCCGAGCGCCCCGGAAAGTATCGAAACAGTGTCTTCCTCAAAAGTCGGCGGAATGTCGAATTGGCATCGCCTCCCAGGGCCCGACACTGAACAACTTGTCCAGTGGTGTCCGTTCACATACACTTTCGCGCGACATTAGGAATGTCATAAGACAGTGTCTTCGTTTCGTGCTAACGCGACAAATTGGCACATCATCTGTGCGTGGCCTTTTGATTTCAGAAGTGTTGTTAATAGCTGGCCAAAGTAGGCGTTGCATATTGGTGAAGACGCAATCCTCGCATCTCGGACGCTTCGATGTCTCAACGCGGGGGCCGTGCGGGCGTTGTTTCGAAGATGAGCCGTTGACCCACACTGTCACACGAGGTACATCGTGCGCGCATTTTTGGTTGCTCTGTTACGCTCAGCGGTCAGTTGCGCAGGCTCCCTTACGCGTGTGCGTATGATCCCATTCATGTGGGACGCATGATAAGGCGCAACGAAACGATACCGTGAATTGAATCCATGAGACTTTATTTTCAAACAGGGCTAATACCATCCTGTTGCGCGAGCGCATCCAATATGGTCGGAATGTAACTGGGTGTGCTATGGATTTGGGTTGTCGGAGAGGGTTTGCCCTACAAGCGCGATTGCGAACGTCGCCGAAATGTCGTGCCTTCTATCGCTTCGCCCTCTCCCTCCTCTTTGCAGTTCCTGGAGCGAGGCTGCAGAATGCAGCCGCTGGTAATCCAGTGGTTCCTGGAGTGGTTTAGCACTGGAGCGCATCCGTTTAGGTGGGTCTACCGTTTCGCCATACGATTCGTTTTAATTTTGGTTATCCCTGGTCGGCACCGCCATCGGGGCTTGAGGCGCTTTCCTGACGCGCATTCAACATACAGCATACATGGTACATTCGTTCGATGCGCGATCCCCCATCTAGTACATCTTCGGGGACGCATCCGAGGATGATATGGGGGAGGGAAGGAACGGGATGACCCACCTGGGGACCAAAGCGAGGAGGGAGGGATCCATTTTCTCCCTCCTTTCCTCCCTCGTCGTTCTCAGGTCCTCAGGCTGTTCCTCCAACCTTCCTCATCCCCCAATTCTCCCACTTGCTCCTCCGCTCCTCCTGTTTCCCTCCGCATGCTGCCTGCCTCGTTGCTCTGACCTTTTCCCACCCCCACCCTCTCTTTCCTCGTTCCTCCCTCTGCTTCTTACCCCCCCCCTTCCTGCACTCTCTTCCCTCCCGCTCCCTCCTCCCTCCTTCTCTTTCTCCCTCCTTCCTGCTCTCTTCCGTATTCGCCCCCTCCCCCTTCTTGCGCTTCCTTCGTCGTCAAGCTGCCCCATGACTCGCTTTTGAAGCTGGGTGCGGCAGCCTGGAACAGGAAGCTGGGCCCTGGAGATGAAGGGGGGGCTGGGGGTGAGGTTGAGGCGGACGTTCGAGCTTGGGCCGAGCCCGAAGGTCAGCCTGGGCCTTGACCTCTGCCTCATGCCCAACCTCGGAAAATGGAACGTATACATTACCAGCGGCGGGCTGTTTTTCAATCCCCGGATTTTTTGAGGGTCGGGAACGACGTCGGGGTGGTGTGGTGTATATTTGTTTCCCCGTTTTCACGTGGAAACCGCAAAACAAAGTATACACCAGGATGCCGTATACACCAGAATTCGTTCTCTTGCGAATCTCAGTGCGGAGCCGGACAAAAAGCATCGGTGTATACTCGTTTCCCCGTTTTCCGGGGGAAACAACGAAAAATGTATACACCAGGGTCCCGTATACACCAGGATCCGCTCTCCAGTGCAAGTTCCAATGCAGGGCCTGAAGAAGCGTCGGTGTATAGAGTTCGATCCCCTACTTGACCTCTGCCTCGTGCCCAGCCTCCACTTCAGGTCCAGCCCCAGTCACAGACACAGCCTCGGCCTGCTCAGCGATCGCCCTGGCACCTCCAGGGGGTCGTGACCGACGCCCCCTGTTGACCCCAGCGCGCGTGCACTCTCTGCCCCGACACTACGGTGGGGGCGCGCATCAAGAAGCCATCTGCTTTTCGTCAGGGTACCCCTGGGTCTCTCCGCTCCTCGCGCTTCGCGACGACTTTCCGCAGCCGTCGAAGGATCCGCTGCGTTCGGGGTGCTCCAGGGTTCCCCTCAGGTGCACCTCGCGCACGGGTTCTCAGGGTTGGGTTTCTTGCGAGGGTTTCTTGCGGCCGCGCCCGCACTGTACCTGGAACATTTTTTTTGTTTTCTCTGTTTTGTGTGTGTTTTTTTTCCGCCGGCCCGACAGCTTTTTGGCAATTCTCACACTCATTTGGCATCTTCGGGACACCCATTTGACGCACGAAAAACGCTCGCCGCCCAAACAGTTGTCATGCCCCACACCTGGATGGCGTTCGCTGTTCAGGAGGGTGTGAGCCCCGACGCTTGTTTGCTATTCGTTTGCGCAGCCCGACACCCTTTTGACACTCTCTTGGCAATCAGTTGACAAACTGCGGAGAGTCTGGCGGTACCCCTTAGGTACAATTCTAACACAGAGTTGGGAGGCGAGGTGGGCGGAGGATCCCAGACGAGGTGGCAGACGCGTGCGTGTGTGTGTGTGTGTGTGTGTGTGTGCGTGTGTTTGCGTGCGTGCGTGCGTGCGTGCGTGTGTGGATGTGTGTCTGTGTGTGTGTGTGTCTCTGTGTGTGTGTGTGTGTGTGTGTGTGTGTGTGTGTTTGCGTCCGTGCGTGCGTGCGTGCGTGCGAGCGTGCGACCGTGCGCGCGCGCGGGTGTGTGTGTGTGTGTGTGTGTGTGTGTGTGCGTCCGTGCGTGCGTGCGTGCGCGCGTGCGTGCGTGTGTGTTTGTGTGGGGCAAGGGAGGGGGGGGCGGAGGAGCGCGGAATAGTTAGAAGCAATGGGGGGAGCGGGGTTGAACTGCGGAGTTTGGGCAGGGGCCGCGGCATCAGCAGGGGGAAGAGGAGAAGGAGCAGTTGCGGCAGAGAGAGCAGGAGAGGGAGCGGGGCAACCGAGGGAGGAGGGATGGATGAGCAGCAGGAGTGGAGAGGAGGGGGAGGGGGTGGAAACGGAGAGGAGTAGAAGGGCGATCCAAATCTTTCGATGCAATCCTTCGGGATTTTCTTGTCAACACCAGACTTTGCCTTCATGCAATCTGCCCAGTGCCCTCCTCATTTTCCTCCTCGCACTCCGTATCCTCCGTTCCTGTGGGCCCTCCCCCGCCTTGTGGCCCATCTGCCTCCCCCTATCTTGCCTGCGCCCCCCCCCCCCCCCTCCCCCTGCTCCCAGCGATCTGGGCTTTCCAGCCGAGCTCGGCGTCGCCCAAGACTATTCGTTGGCCGCGCAGGTCAGCTTAGATCTGCGTTGGTTGCTTCAGCCTGGGTCCTTTGATTGCGCTTGCGCCGCTGGCGCGATTTAGCATGCCCCCCTCGTCGTTGCTGTAATAGGCGCGCGCCCATAGTCGAGCGTTGCAAGCGCGGCAGTCGCCGCATGATTTACTCGCCAACTAACCCCCGCGGGCTTCGCCAATTACACTATCATCTGGCACTGCTGTGCCTCTTGCGAGCTGCCCGATTTTCGCGTGCCCCCCTGAAATCTTTTCCAGGGTCAAGGCTCGAAACCTATACTGGGTGAAAGAACAAAGATCAGGTGTAGGTGCCTGGAGGCGACGCTCTCGAAAGATATCGAGCGCTTGGGCCTGGAGGACCTGGGAGGGCGACGCCCCTGGGAACGTTTTCACGCGCCAGGCCTTGTGGGGGCGATGTTTTTTTTTGTTCGAAGCGTCGCCAGCGTTGTGGGCAGATACCGTATCGATGCTGTCCTGCATGCTCGAAATCGTTTCTGGGATGCAGCCCTGAAGCAGGATGGGAAAACATGGAAGGACCAAGCAACTATGGATAATACGTGTGTTAGCCCACTGTGTTTCCCTTGCTCAGCTCTCCACCGATGGCGTGCCATTTTTGGTCGGCCCTCGTTCCACCGCCTGCATCGCATTGCGGGGCCTCTGTGGACAAGCACACGTTGGCGCTAGCGCGCGTCCGGAAGATCATCGGAACGGTCTCAGACCTCGAGCGGATTGCTTCAATGCTTCCGGGTGCTTTTTTCCGACAACTTCTCAGGGGCAACGCCAGGGGGGGAGGGATGGGCCCATGGGAGGGGAACGTCTTGAAGCTCGCTGAGGGGCAGCGAACGCGATCTGTGTTTCTGGGGCGACGGGGGAGAGGGCAATGCTTTTGTAGGGCAAGAGCAAGCATGAGCAAACCTGAAATCAGAGCTTCTCGCAAAGGGCGGCTGGAAGGATTGCTGTTGACCGATCAAGCGCGCCCGCCGAGCGTGCGGGGATCTGGCCCTCGAAACAACGCTGCCCCCCCAGCGACCTTCAAGGAACGTCGGCCTTCAGCTACCCACTCGTCGCCCATCGCAGCTTGGGCACCCCACCCTGCTCAGGAACCGAGGGATTTGCAGCCGGGGGCCTATCGCCGATCCATCGGCGATAGGCCCTCCTCCTCCTCCTCCTCCTCCTCCTCCTCCTCCTCCTCCTCCTCCCTCCTCCTCCTCCTCCTCCTCCTCTCCTCCTCCCCCTCCTCCTCCTCCTCCTCCTCCTCCTCCTCCCCCTCCTCCTCCTCCTCCTCCTCCTCCTCCTCCTCCTCCCTCCTCCTCCTCCTCCTCCTCCTCCTCCTCCTCTCCTCCTCCTCCTCCTCCCCCTCCGCCCTCCTCCTCCTCCTCTCCTCCTCCTCCTCCTCCTCCTCCTCCTCCTCCTCCTCCTCCTCCTCCCCCTCCTCCTCCTCCTCCTCCTCCTCGTCCTCCTCCTCTCCTCCTCCTCCTCCTCCTCCTCCTCCTTGGGGAGTTTTGGAAAACGAGGGGGGGGTGTATCGCCGATTCCAGGCGGTTCCCCCCTGCCCCCCTGTGCCAGTCCCCCCCCCGCCACTCAGTTTCGGCTTCCGGGCCCGGGATCATCAAGCGTGCATCTGAGGCGAAAAACGGTTGCCCCCGCGGAAGGAGCTGAGACTTCTGGTGCCCGCGGGCAGAAGAGTCAATCCGTCGGAAGTCTGGGGCAAAGGCTGGATTTGTGCAGGACGATCAATGGAGAGGAAGCATGTTGCCAAATAACTTCCAGATGTCTAAAACGTGTAAAAACCAAAACATGCTCAAAGCATGTTTAGAACATGTTCCCGACATTTTCAACACATCTTAGACTCAATGACAGGACTGTCAGGGTGTCCACCGTCGTGGCATCCGCATGGCTGCATGGCCTGTCCAGGCTCCCCGACGACGGTCGCCAGGGCGACAGCGCTCCCCGTGGCCTGGGCCCGGTGGAGCGGTCGCTCTCTTCGGGGAGGGCTGCGCGAGGGCGCGAGGACCGGGTCGGACGGAAGGGGTCTTCCTCCTCCTTCCTCCTTCCTCCTTCCTCCGTCCTCCTTCCTCCTTCCTCCTTCCTCCTTCCTCCTTCCTCCTCCTTCCTCCTCCTCCTCCTCCTGGATTGGGGCTGCGATTAGGTCGGGCTTGTCCCCCCTGCAGGGGGCTTTGGGGCGACGAAGCAAGAAGTGCTCACAAATATTCCAACAATACCCCAAAAATACTCCAGAGGTCGTCCCCAGAGTATTTTCGGATCGTTTCTGAGTGTTCCTCCTGTGGAGGGACACGCCCGACTTGAGGCTAAGAAAGGGGCGGTGGACTTGGGAACGGGGGAGTACGACATCTGCTGCATGCAGCAGCTTTCGACACCGCCGCCGGGCGCTTCCCTCGGTACGTTGGCGCCTGCGGCGCCGGCAGGCGCTGGGAAAATCAGCTACGTGAGCTCATTCGCTAACCCAGCTTTTGCCACCCTCCCGTTCGTCCGACCCGAGAGGACAACCACGCCATCGCAGAATGCGACGTGCTTTTTTTGTTCTCTTTGGAGGGGGGTTCTGTTCAGAAGCCGGGCGACGGCTGGCAAACCCGTGGTTGCTAAAACAGAGCTCCGGGAAATTGATGTTTTCCTTCCTGAGCTTGACTCCGGGAATTTGTTTTCTGCTGGGAAGACCGCTTCGGCAGCCACGGATTTGCAAGCCCTCGCCCAGCTTCCAATCTGTGTGCTTGGGCTCCTGAGCCCCCCCCAGGCCCTTGGGGAGGCCCGTCGGCCGCGGCCCGAGCAATGGCACTGGCGCTGCGGCGGGCATCGGCTCCATCATCTCCTCGAGCTTCATCTTGCAGGCTCTGCGAACACTTGCCGAATTGTCATTTCCTTTTTCTCCCATCCTTGAGTCGGCGTAAAAAATAGTCGGGTGATTCTTTTCATTAGTTTTGACAATTTTGGGGTATTGTTTGACTATTTGTTTTGCTCGTCCAAAATCCGCCTGTAGGGGGACAAGCCGGACCTAATCCTATCCTTCCAAATCGTGTGTCTCCTTATGGTGAGGCGGCCGAGGGGGCCTGTGAGCGCCCTGCTTCCTTTCTGCCGTTGAGGCTTCGCCAGATGGTTTTTACCTGTGTGTGTGTGGTGTGTGTGTGTGTGTGTGTGTGTGTGTGTGTGTGTGGAAGAAGCTGGTGGGTACGACGTGTGAATTTTAGTGGTGGCCCCCGGGGTTCCCCGGGGTGCCCCGTTGCCTGGTTGCCAAGCGTTCTCTCTTGTTGTCCGCGGCTGCCCGAATCCAGAATGCCGAGCAATGCGAATCAGAGCCAAGCAATGCCAAGCAAAGCCAAGCACTGTCAACCAATGCAACGCAATGTCAAGCAGTGCAGAGACACGCCAAGCAATGAAATGCAAAACCACAATGCCAAACAAAGCCAAGCAATGCCAAGCAACGTCAAGCAGTTCGCCAGGCTGCCCCGATTCCTGGTTGCCTGTTCCAGGGGGTTCATACTTCCTTTTCCTTTGCTCTGCTCGCCTTCCTCCCTTGCCTCCTCTCCCTCCCCTTGCCTTTCCTTGTCCTTCCTGTTCTTGCCTTCTCCTTTCCTCCTGTCCCTGCGCCGTCTCCTGCTTGCTTCCCTCCCTGTGCCTTCTTTGCTTATGATTTCCTTCAAGGAAGGCTCTCTTGCGCAGTAATTCTCTCAGCATGCTTCGCCAAGCATACAGACGCGTCGGTCTGCATGCAGCGCGCACGTCCATGGGCTGCTCACAGCCTGCGGCTCCGACCGACCGACCACTACGCGTCTAATCGATGCTGGCTCATCGGACGACCCCGCAGGGGTCCACGTGGCCGAAGACGTCCTTCAGATCCTGACCCCCCCGCCGGCGTTCCGGAAACCTGGGGCTCGCGTGTGGCTGCCGCGCAGGCGCTTCCCGAGAGCCGCTGCCCCTACGACGCGAGGTACTGCGTCGCCTTCCCGGGCGTGGAGTTCTCGGAGGCGGTGGAGGGCTGGTGCCTGCCGAAGCCCACCCGGGAGGTCTCCGAGGCGCTCGGCCAGACGGCGGCGGACAACCTGGAGAGCCTGGGCGCGAACTCGCTCGGCGACGTCCTGAGCGGCGAGGCGGGGACCTTGGCCGAGACGCTGGACTGCCTCGCGGTGGTTTCTGCCTGGTCGTTCGTGGCGGGGCTGCTGTTTCTGCTGCTCCTGCGCTTCCTGGTCGGCGTCGCTGTCTGGGGCGCGCTGGCGTCCGTAGCTCTTTCTCTTCTGGCCGGGGGCGCGCTGCTCTTCGCAAAGAGTGGCCAGTGTGCCGGCGCTGGACTGTTCGACTCCGGCATCTGGGGGCCTGCACAGAGCTGGCCCGGCGACGAGGCAATGACGGGAGACGGCTCCGACTACGTTGGCTACCAGACGCTCACGCGCAGCGGCACGCTGTGTCAGGAGTGGGCCATCGGCACGCCGCACTCACAGCCCTACCAGAACGCGTCGAGCTTCGCGGGTTCTCCCGGCAGCCTCGCAGATGTCAGGAACTACTGTCGCAACCCGGCGGCCGCCAGCACGATCTGGTGCTTCACGGTGGACACGGAGAAGGTGTGGGAGCTGTGCTCGCCGATTGGGGTGCTCCAGCCCGATTGCCCGAGCGGCTACGCGGTTTCGTCCGAGTCGAACCGAGAAGCAATGAAGATCGTTGCGTATGTGCTCTGGACTTTCGCGGGCATTTGGCTCCTCCTTGTGTGGTGTCTGCTTCAGAGGATCAGACTCGCCATCGCGACCAGCAAGGTTGCCGCCTTGTTCGTCATGCACACGCCGGGCATCGTGCTCGTGCCCGTGGTGCAGGTGGTCGTCGGCATCTGCTGGTGCCTGATCTGGTGCCTCTGCGCATCCTTCCTCATGTCTCAGGTTCCGGAGGACTTCGTTCCCACCTCCGTGTATGCGACCTACAGGGAGGCGGCCGGCACAGCCGATACGCCGGGGCCGTGCACTGGCACGTGGCCCGCCGGCTTCGTGTGGAAGGACGAGGATCGGCGGCGACGACAAGGGCGAATAGCCCTGGGGCGGGCATTACACGCATTCGCCTGGGCGCCTCGCCGAAGAAATAGATCATCGGCGCCCCTGGATGCATGCATTGCTCTTCCCTGGGCTATTCGCCCCCTTCGTCGCCCCCGAGAGGAGAACGCTCTGTGCAGCTCGGGCCAGTCCGTGCCCAGGTGCTGGAGGTGCGGCCTGCCCCGCTACGTTCTCGGCTACAAATTTGCGTTCGCCTTCTTCTCCTTCCTGTGGAACAGCGCCCTCGGCGTCGCGCTGGGCCAGTGCGTCGTGGCGTACTCCTGCGCGGTGTGGTACTTCCAGGAGCCGCATGACAGGGGCGGTCCGAAGCAGAGCCATGGTGTGCAGGCCGCAGTCCGGACCTGCCTGCGCTATCACCTGGGCTCCTTGGCGTTAGGATCCTTCCTCGTCGCCCTGGTGAAGTTTATCAGATACGTCCTGATGTACCTGGAGAAGAATGCGAAGGCTCAGAAAAATAAGGTCATGGTGATGGTCTTCAAGTGCCTCCAGTGCTGCCTGTGGTGTTTTGAGAAGTGCATGTATTGGCCTTCGGACCATCCCACCGCGCCTGCGTTGAAGGTCAGAAGCCTCTACGATGCCTGCGGGGATCTCTTGGGAGGCCTCGCGCAGACCTCTTGGAGGCGGTTTTTGCTTGTGTTGGGGCTTCTTCGGGGCCTCTTGGGGGCTTCTCAGGGCTTGATCTGGGCGTCTTCGGGTCCTCCTGAGGCTTCTGAGGGGCCTTGTGGTGTGGCCTGCTGGCAGTCTTGGGGTAATCTTGGAGCGGAGGGCTCGAATTGTCGGTTCGTAGTCCCCTTCTTGGGGCTCTCTTGGGGGTCTTCGGCCCTCTTGGGCCGTCTGGTAACCCTCTTGGGGGTCGCTTGGGCCATCTTGGGACTATCTCGGAGGCCTCTTGGCCGTCTTGGAGCGTCGGAAGCCCGAAAGGCGAGATCGCTCACATCTTTCAACAACCAACGGGAACTTACTGATGTTGGCCTCTTGGAGCCCTCCTGGGGGGCCTGTTGAAGCCCTCTTTGGGCGTCTTTGGGACTCCTTGGGTTGTCTGGAGGCCATCTTGGGGTGTCTTGGAGAGCTCTTGCCGTCTCGGAGGTGTCTTGGACCGTGGAGGCCTCTTCGGACCCTCCTGGCCCGTCTTGAGGCCTTCTAGCCTCCAGAAAAAGTCACGCGAGAACACGCGCCAACACGCGCTACACATGCGCCAGCACACGGCACGTCCCGACAATCGGGTCTTTTTGCGAGTCCAGAAAATGTTGGGGGTGCGTTTTTGGGCTCCCATCGTCGCTTTCCTCTTCGGTTGCTTCTCCCCTTCATGTGTTTGTTTTCCCTCGCTGCTACTTCTCCCTCGCTCGTTATGGATCGCGGGAGTGTTCCGAGCTTATGGAGCACAGGAGTCCGAAATCCAGTGATTTCAATTGTGTCCTTCATTCTTCCCCTTTCCTCTCCCTCTCTCTCTCTCTTTCTCTCGCTCTGTACTTTCTTGTGCGACTGCCTTCTGCATTCAACCCCTTTTCCTTTCCCTTCTTTCATGTTCCCTTCTTTCTCTTTCTCTTTCTCCGTTTGTTCCCTGTTTTTGTTAATATGTCACCCGCCTCCCTTCCTCTCCCTTCTTCGTTCTTCTTTCTCTCCACATCATGCCCTCTCCCTTCTTCCTTATGATGCCAGAATATCCCCTCCCCTCCTCCCCCTACATTTCCCTGTGTCTTTCTTTACGCCTTTCTCTTCCTCTCCGTCTGTCTCTCTCTATCCCCCCCCGTCTCTCTCCCTCCCTCTCTCCCCCTCTCTCAGTCTCGGCTCGAGGCACAGGGGTGCTCTCGAGCTTCTGACGTCGCTTCCCGAGGCGTGACCGCTCCCGCCCCCCCAAGGTTAAGTCGGGCCTGTCCTCCTACAAGGGAACTTTCGACGATTTTTTTGACCTTTTTGGTGCATTTTTGGAGTATTTTCTGTTTTTCGTCGAAATTCCCCCTGTAGGGGGACACGCCCGACATAACCCCAAAGAGCACAACCGCTACGTCGACCGCACCCCCTTCGCCGGCGCGCGCCGTGGCCCCTCCGCGCTCACCTCCGCCGCGCGACCTCCGCACGCCCTCCCAGCGGCTCGGCCGACTGGGAAGCTCCCCCGACGCACGGCACCCAGCCCCCTAAGATTGACACGCCAAAAAGGCGATGGCAATCGCGCTGGTAAGCACAGCACCCAGCCCCCAACCCAGTGGCTCGACTGGAAGCCCCCGACTGGAAGCCCCCGACGCACAGCACGCTCGCGCGGAAGGGCGCACGCATCGAGGCGTTCCGACAGGGCCGAGGGGACCGCCCCGCGCCCGCCTACGGTGGGCTTGCCCAGAAGTAGGGGGCCACGTGCGAAGCCTACCCCCCTACCCCCCACGGTTTCTGAGGGGGAGGGTGGGGTTCACTTCGTTCGGGAGCTCGCGAGCGAAGGGAGCCCCCCCCCTTCAGAAATCGTGGGGGGTAGGGGTAGGGTTCGCAACTGGCCCCGTAAGAAAGCCAGCGACGCACTCGAGGTGGCCTGGGCCACCCACCGTGGTTCCCCAGAAGACGTCTCCGACGCGCACTCCGACGCCCGTGCGCCACCCACAAGCTCTCCTGGACCCGAGGCCACCCCGCATTACACTGGGCTCGAGTGTGAGGTCCCCGTGGCCTGGCGGACACCTCAGTCCACTCGACTGCGGCCCGCCCACTTCGGCGCTACCATCTGCCAGCTCGGCCGCGGCGAGGTCCACTGCGACCAGAACTCCCTGGAAGTGGAGCTCGACCCCGCGCTGCAAGTTGCGTGGATCCGTGGTGCCATCTGGGAAAACGAAGCCACGGCCGCCACTGATGGGGCGCTCGCCGAGAAGTTCATCCAGCAGTTCTCAGGCGGTGCGCCGATCACAGGGCAGCGCGAGCCCAGCACGGGTGGCGGCTCTGCTCGACAACGCGCCACGCAGCGGCACCGCGAAGCCAAGGCCAACCCTCAAAAGAAGGCGCTTGACGCCGAGCTCCAGCAAGGCTTCAACTTTCTGCGGGAGCAGCTCTTCGCGCGCGCGGCGTTTGTTGAGCCGTGCAAGTCCCCGTTCCGCCAAGGGGCGCAGGCGGGCAAGCGCAGCCTGTCGGCGTCGAGATTGTCCACGTCAACGACGTGTTCAGCGCGTCTGGCCAGCAAGGGGCCACCTTCGATATCCTCTTTACCCAAGGCACCCCGCCGGCCGAAGTTACCGCCGAGCACGACTTCATTTGGTACCCCGAACCCAGGCCTAAGCATCGCCACGGCCTACGCTGACCCAGCCAAGCTGAAGGCCATTGGCGTCCACCGCAGGCACGGACAAAAAGGCCCCTGGATCGGCCTTCGAGTGCCCGCGCAGTCCGATGTCGCAATGGCAGTCTCCCTGGCCCTCCGTGGCTGCACTGGCCACGACCAAATACCGCATCGCGGGCATCGGCGCCGCAGTCGCATCGCGCGGCCAGATTCTCAACATCCTCAGGACTACCAACAGGGTGACCGAAGTATGCCACGTGGATCGGGACGAGGCCACTGCCGGCAATTTTGCCCTCATCCGGGCTGGCGCGAGCCCGCCCGCAACCACCTTGAAGGTCAGAGGGCGCGCCCAGCCCTGGGCCATTGCCCAGCAGTCCGAGGACGCCGCACCTCCTGAGCCGGCGACTGAGGCGACCGTGCTTGCCCCACACGAGCTGCTGGCGTCGGGGCCCTTCGCCGCGGCCCCGGCCGCCCTGCGCACCGCGCCCGCCGCGGCCGACCGGCCAGCATGGATGGCAGCCTTTGCTGAGCACCGCCAGGGCCGGCCGCCAAGGCCCTCGAGCTTGGGCCTGCCACCCCTCCGCCGCCCCCTGCGGCGGCTGGATGTGGCGCCCGGGCGACGGCCAACGCTGGCCCATCACCTGGGCAGCAAGCCGTTCCCACCTGCATCCCTCTTCCCGTCACCCCCTTCAGTTTGGCACACCCCTCACACGCTTCGTGGCCCCACATACAGCCCCACCGAAGGCTCAAATGCAAGCGTTCGCGCACGGCCACCGCACCCGTTTTGGCACACCCCTCACACGTTTCGTGGCCCCACAGGGAGCCCCGCCGAAGGCCCAAATCCTAGCGTTCGCATGCGGCCGCCGCGCCCATTTTGGCACACCCTACACACGTTTCGTGGTCCCAGATGGAGTTCCACCGAAGGCCCAAATGCAAGCGTTCGCATACGGCCACCGCACCCGTTTTGGCACACCCCTCACACGTTTCGTGGCCCCACATACAGCCCCACCGAAGGCCCAAATGCCAGCGTCCGCATGTGGCCACCGCACCCATTGTGGCACACCCTTCGCACGTTTCGTGGCCCCACAGGGAGCACCACCGAAGGCCAAAATGCCAGCGTTCGCATGCGGGGCCATCGCGCCCATTGTGGCACACCCCTCGCGCGTTTCGTGGCCCCACAGGGAACCCCACGGAGAGCCCAAATGCTAGCGTTCGCGTGCGGCCACCGCGCCCATTTTGGTACACTCTTCGCACGTTTCGTGGTCCCAGAAGGAACCCCACCGAATGCCCAAATGCCAGCGTTCGCATGCTTTGGCACACCCCTCACACGTTTCGTGGCCCCACAGGGAGCCCCGCCGAAGGCCCAAATCCTAGCGTTCGCATGCGGCCGCCGCGCCCATTTTGGCACACCCTACACACGTTTCGTGGTCCCAGATGGAGTCCCACCGAAGGCCCAAATGCAAGCGTTCGCATACGGCCACCGCACCCGTTTTGGCACACCCCTCACACGTTTCGTGGCCCCACATACAGCCCCACCGAAGGCCCAAATGCCAGCGTCCGCATGTGGCCACCGCACCCATTGTGGCACACCCTTCGCACGTTTCGTGGCCCCACAGGGAGCACCACCGAAGGCCAAAATGCCAGCGTTCGCATGCGGGGCCATCGCGCCCATTGTGGCACACCCCTCGCGCGTTTCGTGGCCCCACAGGGAACCCCACGGAGAGCCCAAATGCTAGCGTTCGCGTGCGGCCACCGCGCCCATTTTGGTACACTCTTCGCACGTTTCGTGGTCCCAGAAGGAACCCCACCGAATGCCCAAATGCCAGCGTTCGCATGCTTTGGCACACCCCTCACACGTTTCGTGGCCCCACAGGGAACCCCACCGAAGGCCCAAATCTTAGCGTCCGCATGTGGCCACCGCACTCGTTTTGGCACACCCCTCACACGTTTCTTAGCCCCACATAAAACCCCACCGAGAGCGCAACTGCCAGCGTTCGCATGCGCCAAGCGCACCCACTTTGGCACACCCTACACACGTTTCGTGGTCCAAGATGGAGCCCCTCCGAATGCGGTGCATACGACGACGGTATTCACACCTGCATGTGGTTGGGTCCTTCGCCATGCAAATGTTTCTTTTGTTTCTCATTTTCCCCTTGCTTGTTCGGGGAGGAGGGCGCCTTCTCCGAGGCGGTTGCAAGGATTCCTTCTGCGGCACATTACAGAATTTTTTCCTTGTGTTCGGATTACAGTTGCTTTGGTGTGGGATTACAAGGGATTCCTCCAGTTGATGATTTCAAATGAGTTCCTATCGAGGCGCATTAGTGAACAACTCATCGTGGATATGAGAAACAAGCCTTTCGGCACCTCACAAAACGCACCCCCACAACCCCCCCATACTCAAGTTTGAGGTCCGGGTACCTCAATAATGTCCAACGTCGGGACTGAGGACGGAGAGTTCGAAGGACTTGGGGACACTCCAACTCGTGCCGCGAAGGACTTGGGGACACTCCAACTCGTGCTTCGCGGCACGGTGGCGGATAAAGTTTCTGAATAAGAACGCCTACATTCAAATCGCAATCCATGGAACAAGCTTCTGCACCTCGGCGAAGAATGCTTTCAAACTGATCCTGGCAAACTTTCTCCGGTTCGGTGTCGTGGCTGTCCTGGGGTCCGTCCTGCAGCTCATTGGCTGGGTATCCATTGCGGGTATGACCGCGGGGGTGGGCTACCTCATCCTGCAGGCGGTGCGCCCGGACGTCTCCCCGCTGCTGCCCACGCTCAGCTACCTGGCGGTGGGCTACCTCGTGGGGAAGCTGTTCATGGCAGTCTTCGCGCTCGCCATGGACACCTCCCTGCAGTGCTTCATCTGATGGGCGTGTTTTCCACCACCACCACCGTAAGTTGGAGGGGGGAAGGAGGAGGACGGGGAGGAGGAGGACGAAAAGGAGGAGGAGGAGGAGGAGGAGGAGGAGGAGGAGGAGGAGGAGGAGGAGGACCCCATCCCCCTCCAACTTTTGGTGGTGGTGGTGGTGCAGAACAGGCCCATCACCATCACCGACAGGTACAACCCGGGTGCCGCCGAGCGGGCGCCGGGGCCTCTCCAGGACATGATGAGCGGCAAGGAGGCCCGGAAGAACGGGGACGCTCGGGGAGGGCACCAGCAGGTGGCGCCGAGCTGAGCTCGGAGCCGCGAGCAGCCGCTGTGCAGCGGCCAGGTTCGGGGAGCGCCGTGCCGTCACTCCTATTCCTCCCCTTTCCTCCTCGGGCTTTCCACAGGGGCAGCAGAATTGCACCATGATCTTAGGTGGGGGAAGGAGGAGGAGGAGGAGGAGGAGGAGGAGGAGGAGGAGGAGGAGGAGGGAGGAGAGGAGGAAGAGGATGAGGAGGAGGAGGGAGGAAAACGAAGAAGAAGACGGAGGAGGAGGAGGAGGAGGAGGATGAGGAGGGAGGAGGAGGAGGAGGAGGAGGAGGGGGCAGGAGGCGAAAGAGGAGGAGGAGGATGAGGAGGATGAGGAGGAGGAGGAGGAAAACGAAGAAGAAGACGGAGGAGGAGGAGGAGGAGGAGGAGGAGGAGGAGGAGGAGGAGGAGGAGGAGGAGGAGGACCAGTGTAAACCCAAGAGTCACCAACGATGTTGGAATAAGCCCTCCCTCCAAACTCCCTCTTCATAGGCCCCTGCAACGGTTCATTTCCACTGAGGGAAATGCCTCGTTGGAAGACAACCGTTTGAAGACCCCGAAGCTCGCCAAAACATTGTTCTCGCGATTCCAACGCCACGGGTCAACCTGACTGTTGCGTCTTGGCGATCCTGAATCGTGCCAGGACGCCATTTTTGGGACGTCAGCACCGCGAATCAACGTAACTGTTGCACCCTCATAATCTTGAGTCCTTCCAGAGTGCCATTTCTGCTACGCTGATCATGGGGATCCGTGGGTCGTCAGCAAGCAAAAAACAACAACAAAACTGCGCGGCGCTAATTCGAGAGCGACAGTTTGGAAGTGAGCCGCCCTCAATCCGTGAAGCTCTTGCAAATGTTTAAAACGAATGTGCGCGGCGCCAAGGCGAGAGCCACATTTTGAAAACGGCCCGCCCTCCATCCGTGAAGCTCTTGCATTTCTCAAAACGAGAGTACGCGGCGCTAGTGCGAGAACCACACTTTGAAAACGACCCGCCCTCCATCCGTGAAGCTCTTGTAAATTTTAGAATCGAGTATGCGCCTCGTTAAGGCGAGAATCACATTTTGAATACCACCCGTCTTCAATGTGTGAAACTCTTGCAAATGTTTGAATCGAGTGTGCGCGGCTCTACGGAGAGAGCCACATTTTGAATACCTCCCGCCTTCAATCCATGAGACTTCTGCAAACATTTCAAACGAACGTGCGCGGCGCTAAGGCGAGAGCCACATTTTGAAAACGACCCGCCCTCAATCTGAAACTATTGTCACTTTTTTAGTTTCAGGGCCAGAAGTGGTGAGGATGCATCAGGCGAAACGCCCTGCCCGCCCTAAAAACTGGCCTCGGGGTGCGTCAGGGAGACGTTGTTTTTTTATGGAAAAGGAATGGAACAGGAAGAGGATGAGGAGGAGGAAGAGGAGGAGGAGGAGGAGGAGGAGGAGGAGGAGGAGGAGGAGGAGGGATATGAGGGTGAGGAGGTTCAGGTTGAGGGGTGGGGGTGGGGGTGGACGAGGATGAACAGGTTGTGAAATTGGTGAAAGGGGAGGCCAAGGAGGTGGAGCAGGAGGAAGAGGAGGAAGAAGAGGAGGAGGAGCAGGAGGAGGAGGAGGAGGAGGAGGAGGAGGAGGAGGAGGGCGGCGGAGGAGGAGGAGGTGGAGGAGAAGGAGGATCAAACTGATGAGGAGGAGGATGCCAATAATAATAAGAATGTAAACGTATCAAACATACCAGCAATAATAAGCATATGATGACTACGACGAATAATACGTAAGACGAAGCCGACTACGAATCATGTTGACATTTAGAATACCAATACATATAAACAGCACTCATGCGCACACTACGAGTACCATTAATTGTAGGAAGAAGCATACGGAACCTCAGTAATGGTAGCACTCGTAGTACTAATCAATTTAATACAAGTAAATTGAATATGCTAACACGAATGCTACTACTACGAGGGTTACTACGACTACTACTACTACTACTACTACAACTACAACAACAACAACTACTACTACTACTACTACTACTACTACTACTACTACTACTACAACTACTATTGCGAATAATATCTTGCACGCGCAGAAGCAGAGTTCTAGTATAGTAAGTAGACGAATGCTAATACTACGGGTAGCATTACCAACAGCAACAACGATACTACTAGTAATGCTATTATAACTGCAACAATCATTGGTTTCATGCTATCAGCATTCTTCCTACTACAGTTGAAGATAGTGGCAGTAATACTAACACACCGACAGCATTGAAACGAATACCGTTCTAATTCTTATTGGTATATTCGGATTACGAATAAGGCGACTCATACTAATGTGAACAATATTATACATTAGGAAGAAGACACCGGAGACGGAGACAGCGGGGGATGATGAGGAGGAGGAAGCGGAAGAGGAGGAATGGGAGGTGGAGGAGGAGGGGGGTGAGGAGGAGCAGGAGGCCGAGGCGGTGGAGGAGGAGGAGGCAGAGGAGGACGATGAGGATGATGATGATGATGATGATGATGATGATGATGATGATGATGATGATGATGATGATGATGATGATGATGATGAGGAGGAGGAGGAGGAGGAGGAGGAGGAGGGAGGAGGAGGGAGGAGAGGAGGAGGAGGAGGAGGAGGAGGAGGAGGAGGAGGAGGAGGAGGAGGAGGAAGGGGGAGGAGGAAAAGGAGGAGGAGGAGGAGGAGGCCCGTAGCCATTTTGGCTCAAGTAAACCATTTATCGAGGTGGTTGAGGACCCCGCGCGTCCTACAGGTGACTGCCCAGTCAGGGACTCCGCTTCCATATTTTCGGCGCCCTCAGGCTCAAAACGACCACCGCCAGTACAGTTCCCGCTCTGCAGTCATGGGAAAGCCCGCGGGGCTGTCAGGGGGCCGTGGCGGGCCTCGTGACTATGCTTGGACGCGTGGTTCTTGCCAAGCGTCGACGTCGTGGAACTTATCGCCGTGCTGGCAGTGCGGCGCGCACTGGCGCAATACAGCCTGGAGCTCTCCCCCGCCGAGCCCCAGAGGAGGTAGAGGCGCGCAGCAGTCGGGGGAGCGTGAAGGCCGAGGCCGAGGCGGGCGCAAGTCCACGGGGCGAGGGCGCCGCCGTGGCGCATCAACAGCGCCAGACGACCAGGCCAAGCCGCCCAACCCCACCGATGCTCCTTCTGCTGAGTCTGTGCAGCGCCCTCTGTCTGCAGCCGACGAGGACGTCTCCATGGATGGCGGCGTGGCCAGCACTAACGTCCCCATCGGGCAACGTATTCAACTCTTGCAGAACGCGCTGGACATGCTCATCCGATATGGTGACGAGGATCAGCCAGCAGCCCAGGCGTTGCGGGCGAAGTTGGCTTCACTCCGTGCGGAACGAGATTCAGGAAAGCCGGCGTCACAGAGACTATTGGTGGCCAGCAGCAGGTTGCAGAAGCTCGAGCGCTAGGTCGCATCGTGCAACACCACCCTCAGCCTGCAGGACACCAAGGTCCAGAACGCGAAGGCCCAACTCCTGCAACAGGAAGAGCTACTTCGAGAAGCCCAGCTAAATCTTCAGGAAGCCGAGCAAAATATGCAATAATGCCAAAGAGAGAGAGGGAGAGAGAGAGAGAGAGACAGCTATTCTCCAGCCGCTTGCGAGCTAAGAAGAATCAGCGAACAGAGGAAACGGACTCTTTGGACTCACGAAAGAAGAATTGTAACGAGTGGCAGCAGACAGGATCGCGCAGCGGGGAGGCGATGCTCAGAAGGTCAAGGAAGCACTGGATGTATTGGCCCCGCTACTTGGCGAACCTAGTCAACCACCAGCAGAACCAGCAGCGCCAGCGCAGCTTGACCCAGCAGAACTTCCAGTACCAGTCGGGGCACCTCCAGCGCAGTAACGGGGAGAACAGCGATGTGAGCAGCCGGCTCGAGCTGCGCGCCAAGATGAACCCAGAGGTGAATCGCTACGCGAACGGAGCCCCCGTGTACGGGGTAAACGAAGTGAGCTCGAGCCTGCGCGCCCTGAGCCTAAGGCCAAGTCCGCTGCCACCCCTGCTCTGGGCGCCGCGTCCGCGGGTGCAGGCAAGGCCCTCCGGCGGAGGGGCAGGAGGAGCTTTGGCACTTCTAGTCGCAAGGATCTGACTCATATCCCCGTTTCTAGACGTCTTCCCGACCCTCCTCACTCTGTGTCGGGCGGACCATCGTTTCAAATCACTGCGATCAATGCCTCGGGTTGGAAGTGAGCCCTGAGGCGCGCGACAAGTTCCAAGGCTCATGTGGTTTTAGTCCGGGGGCGCGCGTTGCGCCGGGGCAAAGTTTCGGATGCCGAGAAAGCCTGCCTCGAGGCAGGGTGGGGGAGCTTTTGGGCCCCAGCGAGCATTACTTCGAAAAGGCCACCC